ACAAAATAACAGATCTTCGATAATACATGAGAGCTAATGATCGTACATAAATTCTGAACTTTCTGTGAGTATGTAGATGCTTATAACAGTACATGACTTAATGTTATAGAACATGATGGAGATACGTAAGAATAAATAACAGAGAATGAGAATAGATGAAAGCAAAGAAGCAGAAATATGAGAAAGAACAAGTATGTGACAATTATGACGGTTTGTAATGTACAGAGATTAATAATAAGACTGTTTTCTTTTGAGGGTGAGATGATCTTCCTTTCTTGATAAGTTTTTTACTAGGAACCGATCAACTTCTATTACAAGATATATTCCAAAAGTTCTTCTGATAGGAATTGATCTGTTTTAATATTTTAATTTCTGCAATAAAGTTGTTCGATAAATTGTTTGTTCTGTTTTTGTAACAGCAATTCTGTAACAGAATAAAAATTTTGCATATCCTGAAGTGACTTTCTCAAAAACAGAAAAACAAAAATTATTTGAACAGCTCAAAGTCTCAAGAACAAAACTGTTTGATCAGAGAATGTTTTCAATAGTTCCTTAGATACGAACTAGAATGAAATTTATCGACTACTATTTTGCATTCCTACACTTATACGTGTATTTTCAAGGTTAAAAGAAAATTCTTTGCTCCGATACGTCATTACTATTAGATATATATCTAAATGTGAAATTATTTGAATAGTTTCGATATCAATATCAAACACTAAAACACTATTGATAAATTAATAATAAATAATGATTATTTATTCTCCTTATTTCAGACAAATGTTATTTTGATTCTAATCTGATTAGTAAACTGTTGTAGAAGACTCAAAATTAGTAAGTATTTCAACAAAATCTTATCTCTTATTTTTATTTTTCACATACATGTATCCAAACAGTTGGTGGATAATTGTTTTCTTTAACGTAAGTATATAAGACTTCTGGAAGAATAATTGAAATATAAATAATTTGTCCTTGAATTGGATGATGTTTATTGATAGCCAATATACTTGAAAATATTCCACCACTTGATGAACCAAATGTAAAACGTGGTAAAGATGCTTTTCAATCGAAAAAAGAAAAACGAAAGAAATTTTCAAAAGTATAATCATTAACTAAAAGAATAAAAAATTAAATAAAATAAACAGCTTTTTATTTTACCTAAATTTGGATATTCTTTATAAAAACCATCAAGTCCTTTTAATACCATTTGAACATCTTTATTCTCATAAATATCAGCATTATATGACCAACATTGACTAATTTTATCTGTTGCTTGAAATACTAAACAAGCATATCCAAGTTCTACAGCAGCACCAATAATACGTTGTCGTTCAAATGAATGAAACCAATCATAAGCTGTGTGTTTGCAACTATGAAATATAAGTAATAAAGCTGATATTGAAGATTTTTGTGGAATTCGATATAAGATTTCTATATTATTATCATACGTTGTACTTTTATAAGTTAATGTTTCAGGTTTACGATAATTAAAATCACGATATCTTATACTACGATCAATATTAACTGATCTTTGTTTACCAAGAAAATCTCTTGGTCGATAATATTCAGTTAGTTCATCAAATGATTGTTGAATTTGAGGTTTTTGTATATTTGGTGAAAATAAATAATGTATAAGTGCACCGAAACCACCCGAAGCAGCATATATTGTCAATGAAAAAGCTGTAAATGCTGAAATACATCCAGCTGAAAAAAGTATCAAACAATGAATACATTTAAAATGGTAAAGTTGCGCATGAGATCGTTTACGTAGTCGTTGACGTACCATTGCACTGAAAAGTTAATGATTATTAAGTAAATTTATAGGAACATATTTTGCAGTATACATCGGTAACATAATTATTTGGTTATCTAACATTAATATTGCATGGTTCAGTGAGTGATGACGACAACACACGAATAAAGTTTTGTTGGACAAATCAAAACACCAATGTCAATCAAATAAGATGTCGACACATTTCGTTTGAGGTAATAAATGGATAGACGTATGATGTTTATTTGTTGATTATTTAACCCTGCTTAGTTCCTATGAAGTGACATTTATTATTAGAATTCAAATAATAAAATTTCCATTTAGATATGTCGATGATTATGTTTGGTTTATTGTCAAATATTCGTTAATTTATTAATTTAATTTGTTAAATTTTCAACAGGTTTTGTTTGTTTATTAAAAAAAAAAAAACACAAACATGGGTGGACGTTTAACAACCCCACCATCATCAGCATCATCATCATCGACAACAGCACATCGAAATACGGGTAATGGTTCGGCAACAAATTTATCTCATCCACGTACACATTCAAATCATCATTCCCAACCTCATCGTCATCGTTCAAATAGTGGTCATAATAATACACATGGTTTATTTCGTAATAATCCATCAAATCATAATCGACATCGTACAGCATCAACAAATATTGATCCAGCATCGGCAGCTGCATTTAATTTTAATTTATTACGTTATGTTGGCATTGAACATGAATCGGATGATCAAAGTTCAGATGATGATTCACCACAAGCTCGTCGACGTTTACAACGTATACTTATTGCACTTCGTGATGTTCCATGTCCTGTATGTAATAAAACAATTCCAAGTGATTCGTTTGATAAACATATAATTCAATGTTTATCAAAACCACGTATAGATTATAATGGTTTGTTTTATTTATAGAATAAAATATTGAATTTTTTTCAATTTTAAATTGATCTTTTTTTTTCTTATTTATTCTAGAAGATACATTGACTGAAAATAAAGGTGAATGTGTCATATGTCTTGATGATTTACTAGAGGGACAAAAAATTGCTCGATTACCATGTCTGTGTATTTATCATAAAAGGTAAAATCAAATATGTAAAACGAAATTTATTTATTTTATTCCAATGAAAATAAAAATTCTATGTCATATGATAAAAAAAAATCATTGAAATTTTATTAAGAATTCATTTAGTTTAATAACGTTTGATTTGATAATCATTTGCTAGGTACATTTTTTTCTTAAAAAGGAAGACAAAAATGTTTTAAATATTTTTTGTTTAATCCTACAGATGTCTATACATACTAAATTATAGAAATATATTTGAGCTGAATAGAATTATATTTAGTAACTCATTGTATTTCTTATTGAATAGTATCAAGTTTGCTTAGAAAAATAAGTGTTATCGTGAAATTTTCGAAGCAGAACAACATGTGTAATGAATAAAGAAAGAAATATTCTGCCTGATTAAATTGCAATATTTATGTGAACACCGATAAACCAACGTATTAGAATATGGATTTATTTTTATAGGCTATCACTTGTCAGTTTCTTTTTTTGTTTAAACATATTATATTATGTAAAAGTTGATATCAATCTTCACTTTGACTAATCAGTAAATCAATGTCTAGATCGACTGATCACATCTCATATCACGAAAAATAATTTTTGTTAATAAGGTCTATTTAAAATAATTGTTCGCGAGATCTTGTCAAGTATCAGATTAGTAAATGACACTAAACCTTCTGAAGATCGGATAGTTTGAAGATTTATTATACGTTATCTATTGAGTGTGTGTGTGATAAATAGGTACACTAACGTTAGCGTGATATGGCTTGACATTATCAACGCCATTTCATGCAAGACTTCCAGTTTATATTTACTATGGTGTATACGAATTTATTGGGTAGTTTCATATTTCATTACACGTATTTTTAAAAACATAGAAACTAATTCATTAGACCTTGACAAATTAATTTAAATAACAAAAACATGAGATTAAATATAAATAATTCGGTGAAATTTTTTTTTTCTTTCGTCATTAAATCAATATAATAAAAATTTTTGCTTTTCTTTTATTTTTATAAAATTATGTATAAATCTATTTGAATTTCTTTAGTTGTATCGACAATTGGTTTCGTATCAATCGGTCATGTCCTGAACATCCCGGCGATTGAATATTTGTACACTCATAATTATTTTTTTCTTTTTTTTTTTTTCGTCTTTAAAAGTTTTTTTCAAATTTTCTTTTTCAATTCGACATATTTGGTGCGTGCAAATGTTTGAGCACGTATTGATTTCTTTAAAATTTCTTTGTTCTATTTGCTTCGATCATCTCTTTCTTTTTTCTATTCCTTATATATGCAGCGTTTAAAAACGCATTCATCATCATTTTTTGTTTTTCTTTGTTTATTCAATGTCCTGTATAAACAAAAGGATATTCCTCAGAACAACCTAGAAACTGATTGATGCAGCACGCGAGCGAATGTATTCCGTCCGTGTGACGACATATTTTTCTTCTTTTTTTTTTTTTTTTCTTTAAAATTGAAATGTTTGACAGTGAACAAATGAAACACCGTTCTCATTGCTTATTTTTGTACTTATAGAAAAGAAAACCAAACAACATAGAAAAGAGTTTTGGTTTTGTATAAATGTGTCTTTCAAAAAAAAAAAAAAACCTATTATTGTCATTGCATCAATTGAGTGATAGCCACGGACATGAAAATGAAAGTATTAAAGCATATATAGAGTTTCCCGATTTCTAAGATCGATCTATATATATTTTTTTCTTCTTCTTGATGTTTTCTGTGCATGGTTGTCTTTTTTTTTCTTGTTGGCGAATAAAAAAAGAGATTCGCTAGTGTTTGTATTTGAATCTTCTTTTTTTTTTTTTTTGTTGTTGCTGTGTTTGTTCCCATTATTATCATCAATATGTACAATATTGATCAATTTTCTCTTCTTTCTTTTCTCAATCACTATTTCTTTATTCGGCTTTTTTTTACAAAAAAAAAACATAATAAAGTCTAGCTGACCAAAAAACAAATATTAAATAATGACCTATGATTTTAGTCATTACATAACACTTCATAGCATACATACAAGGTGTATATCTTGGTGTAAACGAGAGACGACAAATGTTCTTTTATCATTAACATATATATATATATATACAAAAAGAGTCATAATATAATTTATACTTGTTGTTTTATCTTTAAAAACGATATTTTATGATTGAAATTCTTTTTGGTGAGGATCTGTTACAAGTATATTGACATTTGCAACAATACTTCATGTATTATCGAAACTAATATCATGTAAAGATAAACGACAACAATGAAAAAAAAAAATTAATATATTTACATCATTTATTCATTCAATTCTTTCATCCATAATGAGCATTTATTGGTTAGTAAAGGATTAAAATTTGAATGGAATATGAATAAAATTTTATTTAGTTTTATTGAAAATCCTAAAATGTGTACAACAGATATAATATTATCATTTATAAGAAATGCTTATTTATTTGTATCATTTGAAATAGATTTGATTATTTTACAATAATTCTTTTTTTTGTTTTTGTTTTTAAAGTATTATTAAGGTTATTTTATTTTTGATTCAATTGATATGTTAAGAAAACTACCAAGTAGACAAACATATGAATATCTTCTACATCATATTATTGTAAGAATAAATAAATATATATATATGTTAGAATGATAGACAACATATTTATCATATTTAGATTATTGGATGTTTTGGTATTTCAGTTTATTATGGTCAATTTATTGGATATTGTGTTCTTAGTTTATTTCTTGAAATAAATAGTATATTTTTACATTTATATTGGAATACATCTCGAAAAAATAAAATTTTTCTTATTAATACAATACTTAATCTAGATATGTTTTATTTCTCTATAGTAATTATCTTGAGAGTCGTTAGTTGTGTTTTTATTATTTTTTTCTCGAGACATTAAACATATTGAAAGAGCTTTTGCATTATTTATTAGATATATAAATTTTTTATTTACTTTCGGGTTAGAAACAATCTATCATCTTCTCTATTATTTTAGTTATATTTGTTGTTTTTTGTTTTGGAATTATTACATATATGTCTATTTGATTAATAATTAATCGTTCAAATGTATCATTAATTCTTTCTTGTATTGGTCAATCAGATCTTTCCATAATGACAATAATTAATATAAATTTATTTTATCGATTAATAAAAAGTGATTTTTTTATCAATTTAAAGTATTTATTTTTATACTTTTTTACATAACTTTTTTTGCTATTTTGTCTAGAATAAATATGACAAATAAATTATTCTTCATCATCAATATTATTATTATTATTATTATTTGTTGTTGTTAATCTTGAACATTGATCAGATGCCTTTTCTTTTTTACTTTCAAGTTTTGCAATACGTGAACCAAATTGTATAGCACGTTTTGGATATTTTGATGATTGTTCAAGAGATAGATAATGACGAGCTATATAACGAAGTAAATATTTTTCACCAATACCACGTGCTAAACGTAAATCAGCTTTATGCCAAATAGGTATCGAACGGAGATAGTTAACTAATTGTTCATCAAGATATGGAAAACGAACTTCTTTACCTAAACTACTAATCACACTAAATGAAGAAAAAACAAAAGCAGAAGAAATAATCAATATGAAGAATATATTTGTATTTATGTTTATACCGATCATCACGTCCTAAATTTCGTTTTGAAATTCGATTCATTTCCATCTCAAGTTCATTTTCAAGTGCTTTCCATCCACCTGATCGATATGTTGTTCGATGCCTAGAATAACCAGCTAATTGTTCATCTGCACCCAAACCCGATAACAACACCTATTTAAATAAATAATGTCAACATGTAACAGATGACACAAAATTTTAAAAAAAATAGAACAAAAAAAAAACATTTTCTTGCTTTGAGTTACTCGAGAATATTTCTCAAAAGTCATTCGGTGGAGAACGGTTTGCTCTTTAAAAATGTTGTTTTTGTTTTTCAAATGTGTTTGTTTTTAATGATAGCAAAATTCAAAATATAAAAGCCTAGTTAATCGGTTGTTTGTGTTTTTCGGCAAATATTTATCAAGCTCTATAAGTCTTTACTCATAAACATCAATTCAAAAAGTACAGCAATTAACATTAATCAACAGAGAATTTTGTTTTTTCTTTACTTCCACGACTTTTTCAAGGAAATGATGTGACTGCTAATAAGGTAACTACCCTAACTATCATCCGTCGTTTAAGTTCATATTAAATCTACAAGGATGTCTTGAAAGCAACACAAATATCTTAAAAGAATGGATGTCCATCAGCATTTGAAATCCAGTCTATAGATAGAGCTGCTGATTCTTAGAATATTCTGAAAGTTTCAATCGAAGAGAGTATTTATTTGTCGAGATATTGAATTTTCAAAAACTAGTCGCTTATCACACAAATCGAGTTTAGTTGAAAATTCAATATATGAGCATGAAACCTTTTAAAGCTTTTTCTAGTCTTATCAAGACTTCTTTGTGGACTCAATATGAGATCAAATAACAAACTATAGTTCGCTATAAAAACAAAATATGTTTCATCAAATAAAAAAATAACAACTTCATAGTCCTGTCAGAAAAAGTGCTTCTAAAGTTTTCTCTTATTTTTTTTTAATTCAAGATTTCTCTTTTCACATACTGAATCATACATTAACAGACGTAAAATTTTGTGGCATGTTTGAAATTTCAGAAAACTATTATCAAAAAAAAAACATATGAATCAAATTTTGACCGTTGCAGTTGGATAATTGAATAAGCATTAATATTTAAAGTTTTCCTACGATATGAAAAACATTCTTGAAAAACAAACATAACAGTATTCTCTATATCTATCATCAATCAGTTTTATTTACTTCTGCTGGACTTTCATATGGTACATTATCATGATGAAGTGTTCCATTACCACGAGCAGCAAACCAAAGAGCACTACCAATACTATCATCTAATACTGTTGAACATGGATATATCACAGTTTTAATAATATTTTCACGATAATGTCGTAATTCATTTAAATCAACGTCAATCTATTATATTGATAAAAAGAATTCGATTAAAATAATAAGAATAAAATTTTACTTTGACAAAATTCCATTGTCGTGTTGGATTAAGTTCTGATAAAGCTTGTAAACCTAAATGAATAAATTATGTAGTAATCAATTTCCAATTTAGAAAATTTCGATAGAAATTATATCATGAAAATATCGAAATGATTCGTTTGATTTTAATTATTTCTCGAAAATTCTTTTTTATTATTTCGATTACATTAATTTCAACTTGTTTCGTTTGATTTTTGATTAATTCTTCTTTCTAATCGTCATTCAGATTTTTGTTTCGCAATTTCTATCATGCATCTTATCAACAAATATTCTATTATAAAATTTTTATAAGTTGGATTTTTTGAAACATTTAGTAAGATACATATGGATTTTGCACTTGAGAAACCATTGAAGTTACTTCATTTGCTCAAGATTGATCTTACCAATTCTAACTGAACTATTGATAAATGTTTGAGGAAACTGTTTTCATTTGCTAAATCGCATTAGGTTCAAGATCAATACATTTTTTGGTCGAATTCGTATCAGAACAGATCAACTTATCAAATGTTTCAAAAAGTCCGATCTGTAAACAACTCGTACTTGCCTTACTCTGGATCTGCCTGTTATGGCCTGCATCTTCTGCAAATGAGACCATAAGAGGTTTCTCGTGACCTCTATAATAATATTCATTATTAAATTTTTCTCTTTTTTTCTTGTTGTTATTCAGGCGTCATCATCCGTACTATGTTTTGACTGACTGCTTTCAAAAATGGTCTGATTGCTTTACTATTCTCATGTGAAATATTTATTTAACACAACTGAAAGACATCTCAATACATAAAAATATACTAGTGGCAAGAGAAAGATAGTACGCTTTCTAAACTTGGCTTTCTATTTTAAGGTTTCTTGATATCTGAATATTTTTACAGTTGCATGATTTTAGTAAGATCTCGTGAATCGAACGGAATCTTCGGATATGTAATAATGAAAACATGAATTCAAAGCTAATAGTTATTCAGATTTTACAAGAATCAATAAAAATGATCCAGAAAAGTGCGTTCGAAATATCGAGCTGAAAAATCTTCAGTAAGCCAAATTTAATTTCTAATACTTGACTAACTTTTCGTGAGCATTATAAAATCATTCAGCATGATTTAAGACTCTCATTGAATGTATGGAAATCTTTAAAAAATGAGCAAAATAAGCCAGCCTTTTCTCTCATATATGCATGATGAGCATTTTCTGTTCCTTCTCTCTTTAAACTTGTTTTACGGATTTTTCTTTCTTGTTCATAATCTATAAGATTTTTCACTGTATGATTTTCCCGTTCCTATATATAGTCGTTACATTGTCGTACAAAGTTTGAAAGTATACAGAAATAAACTACAAATAGAATTAAGATCTCACAATGATCATAGAAGAAATTGATTATTGTGTTTTTTTAATAAGAAAATTACCTGTTTGTCGATCTGCTGGTGGTGTTAATACATCAGAGAAAAAAGCAACATTAAGTAGATCAATAGGTTCATTGATCGGTAAAACTCGATCAACTAATACTGCAAGTACACTTGAATCGATACCACCAGAAAACAGTATAGCTAATTTAGCATGTTGACATCCATTTATTGGACGAAGATTACTATCAGTTGATCGTTTACATTGACGACAAAGTGATGGTAAATTTAAGATACGTCGTTGAACAGCTGCTTGTAATTGATTAAGAAATGTTTTTGATATATTTTGAAATATTGAATTAGATTCAAATTCAGTTAATAATATAGTTGGTGGTTCAAAAGGTATACTATCAATTGAATGTTTTATATATGGTATTGAATCAATTTTAAAAGTATTATTAGTTTGTATCACTGTTAATTTATGAAGAATACATGAATCAAGTTCTGTATATGACTACAAAATAGAAAAACATCAATACATTATACTGAGAAAATGAAGATATCTGACTAGATGATTAAGTCGAACAGAACTAATAATCAGTTTTATATTTGATTGAGAATCATTTTCTATTGAATACAATAAACTTCGACGTCCTAATCGATCTCGTCCATAATATAAACTATTGGTTTTTTTCTAAACTAAATAAAATGATTGTTTATTAACTGAAGAAAAAATTATTATTATTTTAATATATTCTTACTTGAAAATAGATAAAAGCAAAACATCCTTCTAATGTTGATATTAAATTACAAATATCTATATCATTTGAACATTGTTTTAAATGATGAGATAAAAGTACACCATCATTATCATCTGGTTTTATCTTTATAAAAACATGAAGTAACAATAAAAATTTTTTTTTTTTTATAGCAAAATAATAAATAATCAAACTTGTAAAGATCCTTCATATATTTCTCCATTATATAAAAGTATATTTCCATCTTCATCAATAAATGGTTGTTGTTGTTTATAACCTCGAAGAGCAAGTACACTAACAACAAATGTAACATATAAATCTGATGTAAGTGATATTGGGCCATATTGATTTTGAAAATCAGGACCACGTGCATTTAATGGTGTATAATCAATGGAAACAGACGTTGACTAAAATGAAATATATGCTGAGCACTTTTATATATATATATATATATATATATATATATATATCAAAACTTTAGTAGAACATGATGGACAATTATTAAGTATAAAAGGTCAACCTAATAGAAAATATTTCATTCATCGAAAGTGAAGTACAAATTTTTAGAGAATCTTATGACGTTGTTTGAGTATCATCATGAGCGAAAAAGTTCACGAAACAGTACATAAGATTATCATTATTTTATTGATTTTTGTTTCTATTTTACCTGTGTATGAAGAAAAAAACAAATGCCACACATGATTTGAAAGACTAATCTACAAAATTAAATTTA